CCCCAAAACCCCAAAACCCCAAAACCCCTCAGATTGCTTGTCTGATCAGATTTAGTTATTACTTTTTTATCAGATGAAATTCATAGCTTTTAATTAAATCTCATATTATACTTAAAAGTTTTAAATTAATAATAGATGAAAATAGCCAAATTATAAATGTAGAGAAGACCTTAAATTAAAGCAACTCAGCCAATCAAAAAGACTGTAAACACCAGAGCAAAGAGTCAAGCCCCTGCAGTCGCATCATAATAAAGAAGACCAGATGTTGGAGAATTCATATGCAATAAATAACAGAGATTAGAAGCAATAGGAGATTTCCGACAGTGCAAAGATAAGTGTTTAAAGCATATTTTAACAAACGCAGAAAAACTTTTTTAACCTAAAAAAATTCATCAGTAAGGTGATTGGCTTATTTCGAATAAAGAGAAAAATTAAACTTTTGAATCTTATCAAAAGCCAGGTGTGAAGAATCTTGTCACTCCATAGAGAAACAAGATCTACATTTTTGTGATTGACCCTAAGATAGACAATCAGTTCGCAGAGAAGCTAAGAAAGTACTGCACAGCCTTCTATACAGATATGATTGTTGAGATAAAAAGACCAGAATCTGAGACTTTCTTGGAGGACTTAGAAGTCCCAAACAGAGAGAGTTTATGGGGCAAGCAATACAACGCAATCAGCATACTCAATAAAGTTAACAAGATGGTTCCATCAGATGCTTACTGCATGCTAACTGTGACCATGCAGGATATTTATCCTTACGATTCATGGCTCTATGTATTTGGATGGGCAAACTATGTCTCAAGAACAGGTGTTTTCTCATTTGTTAGATACTAATCTGACTTCAGCCCACTCTCAAAACTTTTAGCTGGGTTCTAGCCAGAACCTACTGAAGAGCAAATTAAGAAAGAGAATAATGAGCTATTGGAAAATGCTTGCTATGTGATGGTTCATGAAATTGGACACATGTATGGTCTAACTCATTGCACATTTTATGAATGCATAATGAACGGCTTTAATAGTTTTCAGGAATAAAAGAGATTCAAAAGATGTAAGTTTTCAATTATTTATAAACTTTTTATAGACTTATGTCCAGTATGCCTTAGAAAGCTTTAATCTAATATGCAGTTTGATGTAAAGAGAAGGTTTAGGGACATGCAGAAAATATGTGAAGAATATGAATTTCAAGAAATGGCAGAGTACTATGCTAAAGCTGCCAAATATTGATTCAATTTAACAGTATTTCATGTACATATATGAATAAGTTATATATTAATTCATTAATAATCATGTTTCAATTAAATAAATACCTATTCATGGGGTTTTGGGGTTTTGGGGTTTTGGGGTTTTGGGG